CCATTAAAAAATAGATTTTGATAAAATATATATATACATTTATGTTCACCAAGTTATTTTTCTTATTTAAGGAGATGATGCCGTAGTGACAACTAGACCATGGCAGTCATCGCCACCCACCTTAGGAGGGCTGAAACCAGGAGACAAGGCTGTATCAGATGAGTTTCCGTTAGTATGGAAAAGAATAAATTAGTGTAAGTATTGAAGATCTGTTCAAATAATAAGGTATACTTGTAAAATATAAATCAACAGATATATATGAAATATCTACTAAAATATGAAATAGTAAAATTAGATCTTTTCTTCTGACATAAATGACTTGATTTATAGGGGGATTAATCTGAGAGTATTGTTGACGATTGGAATATGCAATGAAAGAACGCATTTATATTTCTTCACTCATTTTATATTAAAGCTTGTATTTTGACCTTGTGTATTTCAACTGACAAGTCTCTAGCGAAGCCTGCATAAAAACTAAGTCATAACTACATTTATGACATGTACATATCTTGGTAATAATAATAAACTATCAGTTTACAATTAAGCTAATTTATTGGTTATGAAGTAATTTTTAAACTGCTCCCGGTTCAAGAGTAATTTATTCCAGTGACAACAAAACAGTGTCTATAGCTCACTATGGAGCTTTGGGCTTCAACTAACTAAGTTAAAATTTATAATTCATAGATCTTTATTGTGTGTCATATTCATTAATAAGAAAATCTCTGATGAATATATGCTTTTAAATTTACAAACATAAAATGATTTGTTTTTAGGTTATGATTTTTGGCACAAATTGATGTTCAGCAAAACACTTACTGGTTAAAAAAAGGGTGAATAAAATTAGTATTAAGAAGAAAAAAATATATATTAGAATAATTCATTGTCATCTTTCTAAAATTTAAATTATGTACATTGTTGTTGTACATACAGCTCATCTCTGTTATTGTGTTATCATTACTTTCCATACAGTGGTTTCATTTTGGTTTGTTTTTAATTTTGTGCAGAGCTACTCGAGGGCTATCTGTACTAGCCTTCCTTAATTTAGCAGTGATAGACTAGAAGGAAAGCAGCTAGTCAGCACCAACTCTTGGGATAGTCTTTCACCAACAAACAGTGGGATTAACTGTCACATTATAACACTCCCATGGCTGAAACAGTTAGCATGTTTGGTGTGATGAGAATTCAAACCTGTAACCCTCAGATTGAGAGTCGAGTGGCTTAACCACCAGGCCATACAATGACTTCATATCTGATCCCATATTGTTGAATTATGATTTCACAATTAGCAAATTCAATATACAAACCTGTGTAATTCACTTCAAATGTGGACCAACTCTAATTTAAATAATCTTTTTTTTCTCTCTCTGTTCCTTTCATGAACTTCTGATATCTATCTCCATTACTGTTATATTATACACTACCACTATTATATATGTAACTTGGAAAGCTTGGTTAATTTAATCACAAAAAACATGTTGGCAGAGCTAGTGATTATGTTATTTTAGCTTAATATTGCTTCACTAACGAAGAGTTATAGGAGAAGCAGAATAAATAGCACTCCGATTCTAAGTATTAAAAACTGCATGGTTTTTAGGATAAATTGTTTAATAAAATAAATTCTTGTTTATTTTTCTCAGCATCTTTTGTTGTGATGGTGAAAACATTGACGTCAGAAGTTACACGAATGATATTTTATTTTTACTTTCAGTGTCTTCTTGTGGAATACCCCAACATTCTTTACTATTCCAAGATGTCTTTAATAGGAAGCGAAACAAACGGAATGCTCCTTTTTTTGTAATATAAACTGAATAACGTAAGTGTCTTAATAGAAAAATCATTTGTATCTGAAAAATTTAAAATGTAGAAATATTAAAAATATAGCAACAATATTATAAAATATTTTATATAACAAATACAGTAAAATTGTTAAAGGACATTAACATCCATATAATAAAAATAATTATTTTGAAATAAAGCTATCTTGTGTTTTTAAATAATTAATAAGTATAAAACTAACAACACATTGATAAAATTGGTTTTGGAATGCCTCAAAAACATCACTGAATGAAAGGTTAGGATTAACAAGGCTGACGAGTGATTTTATAACTTATAGTTTAAAACGATTTTCTATGTTTAGAATTACTACGAACTACTTTAGACTCAGCCAAATATTTCTTGGGTGGACTCATTAAACCAAGCAGGCTGCGGACAGGACTGTGTGGTTCTCCGTTTTGGGGTAGGGATGATGATACCATGTACTTAGCTAGGAGTTCGGCAACTTCTCTATGATCTAGAAGAATAATTAGAGCACAAATATAATCAAAGGAAATCAACAGTTGAATAGTAAGATAGTGAATTATGGAATGTCACCCTGGAAGATGAAATATATTTTCCCGTCAGTCTACATACTTAATTTTCTGTAAATCCAAAGATAAGTTACACTGTATATACTCTATAAAGTTGTGACGAGAATCATTTTGTTACATTTATAAGATCTAAAACATGGATCGTCTTGGGTAAATTCTAACATATTTTTAAAGAAAAAAGTCTCAAATATTTCAAAACTACTACTAAACGATTATTATTCGGTCTAAGGTTTCAGACATTCTTACTGCAGATGGTTTTTATCCCTTGACAAGAGTTACAAATTTATATTAAAAAAATCAAGTGAGAATAATCTATAAGTTTGGTTTGTAATAATAAAACGACAGTTTAAAATATGAAAGTATATTGAATCAAAGTTACATGTACAATAAGAGCATTTCTGGATGATTAACGGCCATTTGTATGATATTTGACCACCTTAGTTTTCCACGTATATGAAACCCTGTCAATATTTGTTTTTACTTTCATTAAATTTCATTTGAATTATTGAAGATATAAATTATTTAATAATACACTTACCTCTACTAGCTGCTAACAATACACTTACCTCTACTAGTTGCTAATAGCACACTTACCACTAATAGCTGCTAATAATACACTTACCAGTACTAACTGCTAATAATACACCTACCTCTACTAGCTGCTAATTGCACTGGCAGTACACCACATTTTGTAGTAATACCGGGATCTGCACCTGTAAAGAATTACCACTTCATTAAGAAATAAATATTAATAAAACCATTAATATATTTTCAAAATAGTGAGAACAATTTATGCTACTGTGTACAATATAACAATATATATTAGTAGAAAACCAGCTTACAGTGCAACAATATATATTAGTAGATAACCAGCTTACAGTACAACAATATATATTAGTAGGAAACCAGCTTACAGTGCAACAATATATATTAGTAGGAAACCAGCTTACAGTACAACAATATATATTACTAGAAAACCAGCTTACAGTACAACAATATATATTAGTATAAAACCAGCTTACAGTACAACAATATATATTAGTAGAAAACCAGCTTACAGTACAATATATATTAGCAGAAAACCAGCTTACAGTACAACAATATATATTAGTAGAAAACCAGCTTACAGTACAACAGTATATATTAGTAGAAAACCAGCTTACAGTACAACAATATATATTAGTAGAAAACCAGCTTACAGTACAATATATATTAGCAGATAACCAGCCTACAGTACAATATATATTAGTAACTGTAAGCTGGTTTTCTGCTAATATATATTGTTGTACTGTAAGCTGGTTATCTGCTAATATATATTGTTGTACTGTAAGCTGGTTTTCTACTAATATATATTGTTGTGAAAACCAGCTTACAGTACAACAATATATATTAGTAGAAAACCAGCTTACAGTACAACAATATATATTAGTAGAAAACCAGCTTACAGTACAACAATATATATTAGTAGAAAACCAGCTTACAGTACAACAATATATATTAGCAGAAAACCAGCTTACAGTACAATATATATTATATATATTGTTGTACTGTAAGCTGGTTTTCTACTAATATATATTGTTGTACTGTAAGCTGGTTTTCTGCTAATATATATTGTTGTACTGTAAGCTGGTTTTCTACTAATATATATTGTTGTACTGTAAGCTGGTTTTCTACCAATATATATTGTACTGTAAGCTGGTTATCTGCTTAATAGAAAACCAGCTTACAGTACAACAATATATATTAGCAGAAAACCAGCTTTGTATTTGTTAATTTAAAAAATGAAATTCAAAACCTTTTTTATGTCAATACTGTAGTACTTCTTATATGATAAAGTTAAAGTCCAGAGGAACATTTTTGAGAAATATGTGTTTTTTTTTACATGTAGAATAAGTACTATGTACCAAACTAAGTAAAACTATAAAAAAAATGTGACATTTGAAAAAAAATATTGTGATACATATAGATTTAAAAAACATAACACCAGTTGTGTTATTTCAAAAATTTCAACCCACATCAAGGTTTCATGGGGAACTGTTATAATGTGATATTTACCACAATTGGAGAATTAGATTCGAGATTGTGCTATGTTAACTTTCAACGCAGACATTTGTAAATTTTTTTAGAAGTTTATCAACATTTTTTGTTACAAGTTTCAGAAAACAAAACTGTAACACGAATGTTGAAAATATGAGTTCAGTTGAGGTGTTTATTGTTCTTGTAAAACATATTAATATAGCAGTTATGGTCTACTAAAAGCAATTCCATGTATGGTAAAGCTTAAATTAAACAAGCTTGAACCTTGTGATACTGAAGTTTGTAACTACAAAGTATCTATCAGAGTTTCCATACTAAACTTTTAATATGGTACTTGTATCTTCACAAAATTTGGCAAGCTTTCAATAAACATTACAAGTCTTTGGTACACAAAAAAATAGATTTTTTAATTAAGTATTTTTACTAAATTTCTGTCTGTGAATAGATGGAGTCAAAGTGTTGACTACTCCAATTGCAAAGTGATTTCTAATGTTAAAAAATTAAAAATACTTTACATTTAAAAATTGTCAAATTTAATTTGCATAATCTCTAAAACCTCCTAAATAAATATAAATTTTTTTTTACAGCAAAACTTTATATTTTATCTGTTATTTTCTCTACTGTATCTCTATACCCATTTGGTCAATTTGATTGACCTCGTAATTACCATAAAAATATGAAATAATTCTAAATTACCCTTTCTTCTTTCTAGAATACTGCAAATTATAACACAAAACTACAACTGTTTATTGTAATTAGTTTAAAGCTCATAACAGTATACATTTATGCATAGTTTTATTGGCCTTTGAACTGTGTCTAACTAATAATCCTGCCACACAAGTTGTAAATCACTCGGTGACCGTGTACCTCATGTTACTGTATTGATTTATGTAACACACACGTTTTTCACGAGCATACCTTGTGAAGAATTTTTATTGTTACTTTTTCATTATCTTATCTGATCTAACCTAATAAGTTTCTAATTTTTATATTTTAGTCACTTTTATAATAACAAATGAAGAATAACCACGAAAAACAAGAAACATACTACTTATCTGGGTCCTTTTCTTTTATGCTGTCAACTGTTGATTAAAGTTAAACCTACTTTTTCATACTAGTGGTACTACAATGCTAAATAATTTTTATTTAATTAAATAATGCATCTAAGAACACAATAAAAATATGCTCAAATCCTTTAACTATCATAATTTACCTGGCTTTCTATCTGTGCGATAAGAGCTTTTTAAAATTCAGCTAAGTTCTTTGATGTGAATATTGGAGAAAAAGTTTCAAAATAGACAATGTCCTATACGGAAAACAGTGTAATTTAATACATTATTTGATAGATTAAAACTTTGGTTTTCTATTGGTTATAAGTAATATAGTATAAAACATCAGAGACAGCTATGGGAACGTTGTAAAAGAGAGGATGCAACAGGCGGGCGTGACAAGCAAGTCTGGTTTTCTGGTTTATGACTCCATAAATAAATAAGATTGTAGACTAGAAAAATTATGTTTTACCTCAGTAATGTATATATATATTATAATGCGTAATTTACGTTAAATTTTATATTTCTCAGAAGGCTGGTAAAAAAATTGGAAAGGAGGGAAGGCCTAGAGAACAAACATCACAATTCTCATACTAGAGGAGATTGGGGATTTGAAAAAAATATTTCCTTATAAAATAAAGAACTTAAAACTTATATAATATCAAAACTTGATCTATTAACCATGTTTATTCCATATATACTTGTATATAATGGTAATAAAGTAGCAACTTTCTCAAAAGGCATGTCTTGCACTTTGACCTGCCCATAGTGAGAGAGTTAAACATTGCCTGTGATAATAAAATAAATTCATTGCATTTATCATCATTAATCACATTAGTATTTACTACATGTATGTTGTTCTTTAGTTCAGTGGTTCTGAACTTTTTTAATGTTATTTTAAAACACAGAAACTCATAAATTTAATATGGCTTCCTTTTTGGCATAACAAATATAGAAGAGAAATGAGTTTTAAATTTATACTTAGTTACTTTGGTATACAGTTTTAATACACCCTTTTTTTACAAAATTTTCTTAAAAAGTGTTTGGACCTGATAGAAATTAGTTAAGTTTGTTTGTAATTAAGTCACAAAGTTATACAATAGGCTATCTGTGCTCTGCTGACCACGGGTATCGAAACCTGGATTCTAGTGTTGTAAGTCCGCAGACATACCGCTGTGCCACTGGGGGGCAATTAGTTAAGCTCAGCTTGAATTTTATTTGTCAACTCAGATTGATATAGAATAATTTGTATTTCTCTTGGTACTTGTATTTTAAACTCTATTACAACATTTTGAAGATTCTTCATACCACAAGTATAAAGATTTAGAGCATTAAATAAGTCACTACTTTCAAACCTTTGCTAGGTTTCTACTGAGAGCTTTCACTGTAATATAGATTTGACTCTAGCTGACAAAGTGATATAATTTCACTTTCAACTGGAAGAAACAGAGATAAGTGAATACTAAAATCTATTAAAACAATTTAGCCCAAGGGTTAAGTTCACTATATAATGTCTATACCATTTTTCAACAGGAAGTCAGTCAGCAGAATGTTGCCTTTAGAGGCTGACTGGTGTAAGGCTGTAAAACCTGCTTTATTCTGTTGGTTCACATCACAGCCTGCAATGAAAAATATAAATGAATAAAAACATCTAATATATGAGTCAAGGAAGTTTGTTAAATATAGTTATTCATGAAAAGGATGACAATAAAAACAGTTTCTTCAGAATCTGAGTAAAGAGGTTTAACAATAAACAACAAAATACAAGCTTGTTTCTTGCAATTTAAAAACAACAACATTACAGTTTTAGAGTTATATTTTAAAGTATTAAACCATCAACAAATAACAGTATATACTGATCTTTTCATGTTACATCAACGCAACTTTTTGTTTTACATTTTCAAAGAAACACTACTGTTAAAGATCACGAAGAATATAGGTAATGTGCTAACTCATACTGTTGCATTGTATTTTAGTTTAAATTACAAATAGTTGGAAATTTAAGGATGTGAGTGTATCATTTCATGCTAAATATATCCACATTAAACTTCATAACTATTATTTAAATTAAATGGTATGTGTAATCATTATAATGTCATGTGTTGCAAAAACAAACAAACACTTTATTTGGGATCTAATAGATTCCAAGTTAGTAGTATCAATATCCAAGTAGTTAAACCATGCACCTTTCAGGTCTAAAACTATCTTCTTCTGAACACCACACAAAACTATGTAGAAATTAAATGTTATTTTTGGTTCAATAATATTTACAGTTCAAGATAAATACAGGTTATTAGTATCCCCAAATATTGTACTAGTCTAAAAATGTTTACTTCTATTATAAGTAACAAATCTGTCATGAGGTATAATTATGACTATTTTACATTTAGGCTTAGAAGTTAAATAAACATTTCATTAAAACTTAAATATATATACGTGCATATGAAAAATTGATAACAATACGACAAATAATAGTTTGTTATTCAATTAAAATTAAACCGATTATGTAATTACGTTTCTTCCAAAAGATAATTTCAAAAGCCTTATAATTAAAACAGCAACTCTGAAGCTATGAAACACCTTTCAAGGCTCAAAAATGGTATAATCAAACAAAGTGGTAGTTTAGTAGCCAAAATAAAAAAAAGAGAGACGAAAGCAAACTACTGTAGTCTTTTTCTGTTTACATAATTTGCTTATTATGTATGAAATATACTTGCTTATTCTTCTTCTCCCAAATTAAAAATGTTATTTCTTTTGGCTTATTCTGAACATCTTAAACAGGTTGCAAAATTTCATTCACCAGCTTTGCCTATTTTTGTTTCTAGAGCCATATATGAAGTATTCCAGAAAATGTTAAAAGTTGTCAATACCACAACTATGTCCAGCAATAAAAAAACGTTCAACTATTCTTTTCTTAGTACACACATGTGAAGAGGAAAGTTCCATGTGCACATTTGAAATAAACCCATATTTTACCATTATTTGGCACTTAAAAAGAAAAAAAATCTCCCTCTGGCTCAGCAGTAAATCTGAAGGCTTATAACACTAAAAACCAGTTTCCAATACCTGTGGTGGGCTCAGCATATATTCCATTGTGTAATTTTGTGTTTAATAACAAAACAAACCAAAAAATGATTAACACCAAGTCCATAGCAAATGCTGGACTAAGCACTTGCAATATGAGCACATGGCAACCATGGCCATGTGATCCTTACTTTACCTTTTGCAACTTTTATGATATATACTACAGCTAGTGTTAGTGGCATGAAGCAAAGAATTCAATCTATGTCTATCTAGCTGAACCAGTTACATATTTATTTATTCTTGAAAGAACATCACATCAGCAGTGAGAGAGAAAGAATGTTGATTAATAAAAATAAAAAATACCCTCCTTCCCTTCATCTGGTTACTCTTGTTCTCAGAGTTCACTGCAAGAGTATTGAGTTGATGTAACATACAAAAATATGTGAAATCAATCCAAAAACATTTGAGTGAAAAATAAAAAACACAATTATGCTTACGACTAAACAGTAGGTGGCATTTACATTAAATTTGGCTTCTAATTCATCTAAGAATCACCACCGACTTCACTAAATAAAATGTGATATGATGAAATGATGAATAAAATAATCCACTGTGAGTAATGGTAATTGTTTTATTTTGCCGTGTTCAACAGATATCACCAAATGTTTGGGTTAAAGTAGAATTTTGGCTTTTTTCCCCTCAAATATGTTTGAATAGATTCTGTAGTTTTGAGCACACTGAACTATCTAATCTGAATAACCTACTCAGTAACATAATTTATCTATGTAAAAAATGACTTGGTATACAAATTCTTGTGAATTAGAAATCAAATTCAATGGATTTTATTAAACTTGTTGCAATAAGACAGACTGTAAATTAAATACAATAAAAAATAACAAACATAAAATGAATATACATAAAAGTCCTGTTTAATTAGATATGATGAAATACATTATATTTAATAATAAAAGAAACAACTATTATAGTATAAACCAACCAGCTTCTAAAAGAGATGAAATCAGTGTTAGTTCTGGATTCTTGGAGTTAAGGTATCCATAAGTTGCCAAATAAAGAGCACTATCTAAGCAATCTTTTGTTGTTACCTTGACCTCAGCCCCTAATTAATTATTCAAGACAGACATAAATCAGTTAATAAATTTTCATACATGAATATTAAATATGTAAGTACAGAGTATAACATTCACTAACTATGATTCACTAACTAATACATTTAGATAAAACAGTTGCTTATATATGTGGAGAAATGCAATATGTGTGAATTTATCACCTAATGATTCAAGAACAACTTTGTTTAAAATTCTATTAAAATTTCAAAGTACAATAATCCAAACACATATTTTTTAAAATTCTGATGAGAATAATGTAAAATCTATTTCCTAAATACATCAAATTTTTCAAAACTAACATGATTATATATATATATATATTTAATGCTTAAATGTAAGTGATAAACAATTTCAGAAAAATTCAGACTACTGTTAGTATTACCTGATACTAGTCGTTATACATTGTATATACAGAAAAGCTAGCATAAGATAATACTTATTAACCCAAATCATTCAATAAGGTATAATTTGAATTTTTGTCCCCATTTTATAATGTTTAAGTTATAAATGTGACTATGGTTTCAAGTAACTATAACTACTAGAAAATTTTAAAAAATATATCCACATTTTCTATATTGATAAGCTGTTTATCAAAATAATGGAAACTAGTTTATTTATGTATCTTTTGCACAATAAACAATAGTTAATTGTGTCAAATTATATAGGTTAAAATGCATCTTTTTTTTTACAAATTAAAAAGAAAAAACAATTTATTTATTTAAAAAAAACAGTTTATTTATAAACTAAATCTATATAGACCTTCGATGCAGTTTTACACATAATTTTAACACCTAAGTAGCTACCCGTTTTCTAAACCAAGTAAACTAGCTAAATCAAAAGATTAATAATATCAAACATAGCTTTATATTTTTTTAGATACGATCATAAAAATTACTGTTTAATCAATGACTAAGTTTTATATAGCCCAATAAACAATAAAGTTAAGGGGTAAAACTGAAACAGCTTACCTCTTTCTAACATAAAATTCACAAGACTTTTGTTTCCACTGATACAAGCACACTAAGATGTTGCAAAATCAAAAACAGTATATTGTGAACCACATGAACACAACACCAGAAAAATAACTAGCTACATATAAAAGCAGAGTATTATAATCAAAACATTTTTAGATAATATTGTTTCAAAGTGTACAACAGGATCAATGTAAAATGTTAAATCATGACAAATAAATTGAAAATACTACACCATACTAGTTTTGGTTTTTCATTACCACAGATAACGATAATATAAAAAATGGAATATTTCACCCAATGAAAGCTGAAACATACAGAGATTCTGAGCTGCTTTCAATCACTATATTAATATTTTACCAAAGAAAGGTTGCATTAGTTACCTCTCACGGCAACTACTACATTTCTAAGTTAATATATTCAACACCAATAATTAAACCAGTAAACATGCAGTGTTATCAGACTAATGTCTGAGGCAGCAAATTCTACTTCTATTTTGTTTTATTTATTATTCCTTCTATTGTTTAATTCAACTATGAATATTTAGTTATATTAAAGCACTAACTCACCTTCTAGCTAGAACACAATGATTTCGAATATGTATACAAGTATTATGAAACTTACTCAACTGATGTACAGATACTAATGTTGTGAAAAATTATGTAGATTTATGGTAATAGCTAGTCACATACAGTGTAACCTTGTGGTCTAACCACTAAATTAAAAGCTTCCTCTGACCTTGAAAACAAGTTAGTTCATGAGATATAATTAGAACAAATTATTGCTCAATATTGTTCTTGATATTGAGAAGTGGTTTAATTTTGAAACATTGTGTTATTAATTAGTGAATTTGGTTTTTCTTCTTTTGGTCCTTTTTCCTAGTTCCTTTGATATTTATTGAAATTAATAACATTGAAATTTATGTTCTACTGTTTATTAACATTTGTACCCAGTCCTGGCCATGCACAAGTTTACTAATTGTTTTTTGTTGTAAGAGACAAAATTTGTATTCAAGTTATATGAACGTTTTATTTTAGATTTCTGTTGCTATATTTTAATGAACGTTTTTTTGTTTGACCATGGTTGTAGCTAGATTTTGTTTAATACATTACAAATGTAGGGATAAGTTAATTTTTTTTTTTCAAATGTATTGCAAAGATATATTAGATAACCACCAATTTATTTGAAGAGGCTCAACAAGTTAGGCGAAAAAGATGAAAGATTTACAAAAAATTATAGCAAGCAAAATTTATTATAAGAAATTAATAACAATAAAAAACACTAAACATAATTACTACAAACAACATGTACATAATGACAACAAGGGATAAAATAGAAAACTGTTGATGACAGTGAGTGTTAGAAAGAGGATGGAAAAAGTTTTGTTTCTGACCCGATGGTTAAAAAAGCTATTAGGATTTGCCAGACTGATTAAGACTGACTTACGATGTCTAGGCATTAATAATATACAACTATACAAGTATATTAATTATCAAATGAGTTTGTTCCTATAATTTTGATATAATCAATATCCAAATTCACTGGTTTTTATTATATCCATAGGATCTGAATTGTTCTTACCAAAAACAAAGTCAACCCTGTCCTCTCTTCTGGCCAGTCAACATCGTAGTTGCATGTCTTTATTACTTCCATGCAACGTTCAGAATGTCCTGGCAAATAAGCAGTCTAATAAAAACATTGAAAAATATGCATAAAAAGTTTTCACCTTCAAACTTCTAAAAGTCATCTGTAACCAACTTGTCTAGATTATACTTCCATTAAGATATGTAAAAGGTCACATTTTTGTTTAATGGGACATAAACTCTTTGAACTAAATTATACAATTATTAAACATTTCTGGACAGAAGCACATTAATAGGTTTCGCCACCTTGCACGTTACTTGCATTAGATAATACAAACAATGCATAAAATTTAGTTTGAATAGAAGCTAGGAATAGGGAGAAAGGTCCATTTTGTTTGAGAAGTAGGCTTAACTCATCAGGTTTCAGGAATAGAAAGAAAGGCCAAGTTTGTCTGAGAAGTAGGCTTAACTCATCAGGTTTCAGGAATAGGAAGAAAGGTCCATTTTGTTTGAGAAGTAGGCTTAACTCATCAGGTTTCAGGAATAGGAAGAAAGGCCAAGTTTGTCTGAGAAGTAGGCTTAACTCATCAGGTTCCTAACTATCATGAAACCTAAACAATTATAATTATACACATATAAAACATATCTCAATAAAAACAAATTTAGAACTTATAAAAGACTTTTCTTTTCTTCTATTATAGAACTTTTTATTCTGATTTTATCCTTTAGACTGTACTAGTTTGAGTACCTGTCCACTGTTGGGTGAAATAAAAACTGACTTGTGACAAAGGATAGGAAATTGTGCTTCTATTTTTTTTTCTTCTTAACATAATAAACATTAAAAGTGCAATAAAATTACATAAAGGTACCAATACTGAAAAGAAAGACATACTGTTTTCAAGAATTCTAACAATAGTAGTTACATAGTTTGTTCTAATGCTGAGGGATATACGTCATTGGTAATTTTTCCGAAATTAGATGGGGGGGGGGGGCAAACTCCCCATGCCCTTCCTCATGTCATCCTGTATCATTGTATCAAGTTTTGGTGCTGATTGATCAAGAAATGTGGAAACATATAATGAACAGATACATACACACACACACACACTATACTGACGTTTATTTATATTGACATGTGCAGGTTTCCGTTGTCATTCTCAAGAAGTTAGTACCTGTTCTGCCTGTGGGTAGAATGACTGTAATTCTGTACATTGTACAAAAAATATCAACTTAATGGTAGAACAGGTGTTGGTAAAAGGTTACAACCTGATCTATGTTTTAATGAGAATGACCAGTCACTAGTCACTCTGGGTAAATATCTTGATTTGATCTCTTGTTATCCTGTGAACCCTCCCATCATACAATTACAGTATAGAAATATTTCTAACAAAGTTAAAGATGATTAAGATCAGGAAGAACTTGAATCTGAGACGCTGGTTATCATGTAAACATTTAGTCAACTATTGTTGCCTCTTCAATGTGTTGTTAAGTCTCAATTTTTTTTCAGTAGTTATTAATTAGGTCATGATCTGAAGACTCATTATATTGCCTCTTCAATGTGTTGTTAAGTCTCAATTTTTTCTTCAGTAGTTATTAATTACGTCATGATCTGAAGACTCACTATAGTTTGTAATAAGCTCAGAATCTGTCTGTGCCATTCAATTTTTTTCTGGTTGGAAATATAAGTTTTAAGCGTTTTAGCTAAAGCACGGTCCTTATATATCTAATATAGCGACCATTGCTAAAGTTGTGGGTTTTAGTCTAAATTTTCTGCTTTTAATCCTTCTAAGAAAATTCCTTACATGACATGATGATTTGTTACTCTTACAAAACTCCTATTGCTAAATAAAGCACCTGTAATGCTACTTAAACTTACTTTTGCCAAGTCAAAAACACTGTGATGAATTGGCTGTCTATCTTCCTTCTTTCTCTTCTTAATGGTACTCACTTCAGCATTGCTGAAAGCTTTATAACGAAAAAAATAAAACAATAATAGAAATACAACTTTGACTTTCAATGTATAGATGCTACAGATTAAATCATGCTACATTAAGCAAAACATACTTACAATGGTTTCATAATTACCAGTAGATAAACTGTATCTATATTGACATTTTGCACATAGATCTGTTTTATCTGTGCCATATCATATATTTTAGATAACCAAAACACATGCAAATTGCCACCTGTGAATACAAATAACTTTTAATGGCTGGAGACGGCTTGAATGGGTAATGAAGAAAAACTTTAATATAACAGCAAATGTTACCCATTCAAGCCGTCTCCAGCCATTATTAGTCTCAAAGTGGGTTCCTCGGCATCGAACAAATAA